ACTTGGGGCTGACGGGTATCTTCAGTCCCCGCAATAATGTGCAAATATGTGTTCCCTCACTAATAGAAACAACACATCGGATCAACCCAATTCAAAACCTTATTCTGGCTGGAATCAAATCGGTTTTGGTCCTCTAATTCCACACGTAAAACAACAAGATTATTAACCGGGGTACTGGTTTTAGATAGAAAGCATGCATGCATGAGCTAGCTCTAGCATAACCAATTACACAAACTACAATATCGAAACTGTTTCATTAAACATAGTGACTATATCTTTTTGCAGGAGGGTTAGTTTACTAAAATGGCTGTAGGGCTATTTTCTACATAAATGTTAATTCTAGAGTGTTTTACACGTGCTGTGACATGAGTTTTTACATAAAATGTTAGTTCTAGAGTGTTTTACACGTGATGTGACGTGAGTTTTTTTTTTTACATGAAATGTTAGTTCTAGAGTGTTATACACTTACTGTAACGTGAGTATTTACATAAATGTTAGTTCTAGAGCGTTATACACGTGCTGTGACGGAGTTTTTTTTTTTACATGAAATGATAGTTCTAGAGTATTATACACTTGTTGTAACGTGCGGTTTACGTAAATGTTTTAGTGCGTGCTATAGTTTCCTTGGGTGTTGCACACACACACACTTGTTTGTTAAATTACAACATTGATATTAAGTGTGTTTATTATAGTTTTGCTATTACCATGGCCGGATTAAGGCATGGAAATAACGCATGTTCTGCTCCGACTGGGCTAATGAAGACGGGCAATGAAATGAAATGGGGTTTAATGTCCTGCACCGACTGTGCCTATGAAGACTGGCATACGCCATACAGTGTGCTATGAGGAGAATTGTGCCCAGACAGCGGCGCTACGGCCTACTGTTATATCGGATTCGAATTGCCAAGGGATCTTTAACATGCACGCCATTGTGTACACGGGACCTCGATTTTTCGTCCTATCCGAACGACTATAAGCTGTCCCTTACCAGACCCTCGGTCCTGCACCACTGACAAGGAGGAATCACGCCGGAAAATCTGGATGAACTTTCTCGGCCAACGCAGGGGTCGAACACGGGGCATAGTCCTACACCATACAGTGTGCATTTAGGGAATTTTGACGGGAGAGCGGCACTGCGACCAACTCTTATTTCGAATTCCATCTGTCAAGGGTTCTTTTATGTGCATGCCGATGCGTTCGCGGGACCTCGGTTTTTCCTCCCGTCCGAACGACTTGACACTGTTCCGTTTCATGAGGCCCTGGGAGGTACAGTGTACACAATCTTAATCCGTTGCTTCGTGCAAGTGTGTCCCAGTTTTGATCCCAGTGTATGACTAGGCGAAGGCGTCGCTGCCCAGGGCAAAGTATCCCTTATAGCTCACTGTATGGCGAGCCCATCCAGTAGGGCGCTTAACCCCATTTCATTTTATTTATCCTTGTTAGTGGTGCAGGACAGAGGGCGTGACAAGGAACATCGTTTAGTTCTTCGTATGGGACGAAAATATACCCAAGGCAATTGTAATTTGAAGAAGTGTAGGTAGAAACGCCGTGACATATGCCCGCCTTCATAAGCCCGGTTGGTGAAGATAAGTAAGGTGTTGCCCCCATATAAATATTTTATTTCATTTAATCCGGCCCCAGTTAATACAGTGTTAGTTTGTGTATTCTATAACGTGAGTTTTAATACAGTATTCTTACCTTGTAATATTAGGAGACTCAAACCTGTTTATATATATATATATCATAATAAAATAATCATTTATAATATAAAAGGAACTGAAAGGGTCTATTTTGAAACTGAAACCTTTTTAATAGAATGGGGCACAATACATCGTATTCATAGAACGTGCTTAAAATGTTTTAAAATAAAACCTGACAATGTTTAAACCAACAAAACAAAAATATACTGCAAACAAGTCTCCAAATAAAGGAGTTCACCTCAAAGTGTGCAAAGTGAAAAAAAAGTTCTCAGATAAACTATCTAAAATCTAGAATATTAAAAAAACTGGATTATAAAAGTCAGTAGAGATGACACATTTTACTGCAAAACGTACATCCTCATTCGTATAAAGAAATTTAAAATATGAGTCATATCTTTAGAATATGATCCGCGTCGAGTTTTCTTAATCTCTTGATTTTATCAATAAAACAACATCAAATCACACCCACGATATAAATATATATATAATAGGTTTATTCAAGAAACGGTCTGTCGTATGTTTACTTATTAATAACAAGGGTTTGTGTATATTTAGTTCTACAAGGAATTCACTTATTAAAGGTTTGATTATATTTAGTTCATCAAGAAATTAACTTATTAAAGATACATTCTGGGGGATTAGTTAAAGTGTTGGCAGTTCTCACTATAATAGTTAAAAACTAGATAATGTAAAGGGAATTTGCTGAAAATTGATCCACTGTGAACTGTAAAATTTAGCGGTTGAATTTTGGGCCTAGCCTCGATCATCATTACTAAAGTCGGTACGATAAAAAAAAAACATAGTCTCGATTATCCATTTATGGATTTAATCATGAATGAGCGCTAAGTAGCAGATCGGATCCTAATCCAATAAATATCGCAGGCTAGCGATGCCATCGAGAGCTGATTATGGACTGGATAAGTTAATTATGTACAGTTAATACGCAATGTATATCTGTATAATTTTTGGCTATAGCAAACTTTTTGGCTATAGCCTGTAATAAAGTTCAGATCAGTTCAGTTCAATATGCCGTTCATGGGACTATCTATAAATAAACTAGTTTAAAAACGCCGGAGTGTAAACGGAGCCAGCTTAACTATTCTGGCCGCAACGGTGGAAGTTTATTTATACGCCACATACTACTTCCAGTCGCAGATTTCAACAAAACGTATTGAAACGCAAGTTCAAAACTATCTGAAACACACCCGTTCAGACAGCCAAGATAAACCAGCTTAGAGGACCTGTATTATCGGTCCAAACTAAAACAATCCATGCTTAAAACAATCACAGCGTTTAAACTTAACTTAATGTTATTAATCTGATTTTAATCAAAACAAATTAAAGAATATGCATAAATTAGAAAAGTTCCGGTACTTGGGATATTCTTGAATAATGTAAATCGCTTATCTATCAATAACGTCAATAACCAAAAACAAAGTACATGGTGGTACCAACCAATTTAAGAATTAAAGAGTTTTCAAACGTTGTATTTGAGAAATATGAAGGTTTGTAAGATTTACGTGGATTTAAAACATGCTATATTATAGCTGTCGTTATGAGCGTAATTCACGGATATTGCAAGTACCTGAACAATTAAATTGATAGAATATGCACACTTTCAATAATGACTGTTTGATGGTAAAAATTTATTCCGACATACATGGCCTCCTTGATTCTGTAAGGATTTGATATACTCGGTTGTAGTCTGTGTGTCTTGTCCGCAGGTTTGTCTTATAGATTGTGTTTGATGACAACAATTTATTCCGACATACATGGCATCCTTGTTTCTGTAATTTGATATACTCAGTTGTTGATTATTGCTTACAATGTCCGTGTAATTTGTGTGTCGTGTCCTCATGTTTGCCTTATAGATTGTGAGGTTCGCCTGTATTTAGTATTAGAGAAACTAGTCCTTTTGGATTGAACGATAGACGTTTATAAGGTATATATTTATTACTACAGGAGCTATTGTCCTGTGCCCTCAAAGGACCTCATGAAGACTATATTATTATTATTATTATCCATTATTTACCATGTGAATAGATACGGCTTAACAATATCTTTCACACGATCTAGATATAACCTATATTTATTTCGTGATATTCTCAATAAAAATATTTATTGCATATTTAAATATGGGAATTAAAAAGATATTCCAATGAAATATTTGATTTATTACATATTTAATTGTTGGAATATAAAAATGTTATAGAAACAAAAACTATTTATTGCATATCTAAATATGGGAATAAAATTTTAAAAAAGCTTCAGAGGTAATATTCCTAATGAAATATTTGATTTATTACATATTTAATTGTTGGAATATAAAAAAGTTATAGAAACAAAAAATGTAAAATAAATAGATAAATTTTATAATCTTACCCAGAATCTGGCTTATCAAGCCAAAACCAAACCGATAGAGTAAATTTTTCACCCAATACTGGACTTAACTTCGGAACCAGAAAACAATTTTGAACAGTATCTAAAATGGAAGTAGACGAGGCACCGGAGGGACTATTAGGCCGAATGTTTATATTGTCTGTTACGATACAACTCCCAAAACCACTACTGTCCGCGATCAGTAGATCTATATACCCCGGGGTCGTAGTTCTTCCTGGACATAGATGTATACAAAAATCCTGAATACATCTGTCTACCGAGCCGCTGATTGTTGAACTTTTACAATAAGCATTTCGGGTGGTAACTCCGCACGTACTATCCGTTGGACTTGTAATAATAGGTCTATTTAATGCTGCATTGAATAACGGTGGAAAATCTCGTCCGTGGGCACAGTTTAGATAAAATAAAAATATTAATAAATATATCATCCATTTGGCTTGTATATTTTGATGAAAGGGATCCTTGAAATACATTGTTATCCTAGAAATTGAGCCCGACATTCTTACTAAGTAGATTAATAAATATATATTTATATATCACAACTTATATTTTAACTCACAGCACGTGCACTACATGGATAACAATATCGATAGCACGTCACATAATCCACTGCTTGATGATGATGAATATCCACTGAAGAAACACATTAAATCTTTAACTATAAGATGAAATGAAATATATGACTATATTTTGAAACCAGAATTTGTAAACACGTATTAACACAATAAGAGCCCTGTCATCGCTTATATAAAGTTGAATCGCTGTATAGAGACTGCGTTCAGGTATAATCTAGGCCTTTGACTACTATGGCTGGTCGGTCTTTATGTGATCCAATCGATCCGTGAATGGTGAATATATGTACGACTATATATATAACCCACAACATACTCCACACCCAACCATCTGGCGCATATTGATATTTACATGACAAATAATGCACGAATCACTCTTAAGACCATTTAGAGCATTAATTTGTCCTATTACGGTTCAATCTTAATTAATCCACAAGACGGTGTGGGTCATTGAAATTGATTGTTTTAAAATAATTCATTATTTAATTAAATTAATTAATTGCCACGTGTTGGGAGTTAGTGGGTTAAAAGTTGCCAGAACATCTGGTGTGTATATGTTTATACAATTGTTTAGCGCAGTGCATGGCGGATGTCCGTTTTTATGTCTAGTTAGTGCCGGAAAGTAAAATGTTCATTACCCACGGAAGTTCATCGATATTTTCCGGCGTGGTTTCCTATTGTCAGTGGGGCAGGACAGAGGGACCGGCAAGAACAGCTGTCTAGTCATTCGGATGGTATGAAAAAGCGAGGTCCCGAGTACACATCCACGTGCTCATAAAATAACCCCTGACAGTTGGAATTCGATATAATAGTATCAATAAGGAGATAAGTGTGAGCCCTTGACATATTTTAGAATCCTTAAATAGTAAGTGCAGGGGCACTGCACCACACACAAACAATTACACGACAAATTTATGGACAAAACACAATACACAGAGTATATGGTATATGATCGCCATTTGAAAATGCATTATGTAAGATTTAGATAAAGAGATGACCGTTCTTGCTGATAATAGTTCAAAAATAGACAACGACAAAATGAATATATTGAAATTTCATACAAATTACTTTATTCTGAGCGAAATTGTGTGTGTTTGAAATTTTAACAAGATGTAGCACAAGTCTCGATTATCCACTCTATCGATAAATTTATAAATCTCGCGGGTGTTCAAATCCTTTTAAATGTCGGTCATCGAATGGTCTAGAGAGATGATTATAGACTTGCCATGTGAATAAATATCTCAATAATAGTTTATTCAATAATCAACTTGAGTACACCTAGCCGCGAAAAATTTGATATTTAAATATTCATTGACTATCTGTCTGTGACTCGGTGTGTTTGGCATTGTCTCACTAAACTAGGAGGCCACAAGCTAAAAACGCTAATTTTCGTACAATCAGGGGCCATTATCCAGGAAGTGACGGTCCGATATGCGCGAATATCGTAAGAAACATAGATCTTTGTGATATAAACATATGTTTTAAGCTTTAACAAAATCGGATAAAAAATGTGACCCCTAGAGGGTCCACAGCCTTGGTATTACATACTGTTGCGCTATTTGCGTATAAGTAGCTGCTATTTTGTCGGCCAGTTTCGGTCCGATTTTCACTAAAAGCGCGATTTTTCGGACAATCAGGGGCCATCCAAAATCCAGGAGGTTACGGTCCGACATGTGCGAATATCGAAATCTTTGAGTTATGCACAGTACACATTTTAAATTTCATCAAAATCGGATAACAATTGTGACCTCTAGAATGCCCACAAGCTAAAAACCAAATATTTCCGTATAATCAAGGGTCAGATTCCATGACGTCACCTTCCGATACATGCCAATATCGACCCCTACGCGCAAGCAAATTATGGAAATAAAATTGAACCATTATTATGTTAGTCCCGAAATGACCTAGTTTGTGTGGAGTGGACGTTAAACTCCCATCTCTGAAGCAATGGCCCGAGAAATCGGGATTAGACCTAATCAAACGAAACAATGCGAGGGGCATGTCTTTTCTTAAAACTGAAAGAGCTCTTGTTTCCACATTTTCTGATGACATCGGAAACGAAACGAAATGAAATGGGTTTAACGTCTCACTTTTCTGCCACGGTTTTTTTTTCGTCCCATCTGAACGATAAACGTTGACCGTAGCCAAGTCAGCAATACTGCATCACTAACACAAGGAAATAGTGGGACATTAAACCCCATTTCATTTCTGACAATTAAGAACCACGTCGGAAAATGCCGATGTAATTTCTCGGCCAGAGAGAGAGAGAGGGGGGGGGGGGGGGTAATTTCCACTCAAACACACTCGGTTTGGGAGGAGATCGGACCAACTGGGAAGGAGACCGAATCGGCTAGGAAGGAGATCAAGTCGGTTGGAGAGTACACCTGGTCGGTTGGAGAGGATATCATGGAGTTGTGTTGGTCATCACCATACATCTTTATCTTGTTTTTAAAAAAATAAAAACACATGTCAGCTGATCAAATAAAGCTTCGACTTTTATCGCACTGCAGGTAAACTAAATAGTTACAAATAAACGAGGATGGTTTGACCCCCCCCCCCCCCTAGCTACGCCACTGACCCCAACCCTTGGGTTTACAGACTTTTATCCGTCGTCTTAACAATAATCTCCGAATGTTGAAAAGACACCACTTTTGTGAAATCGCTCTCGAAGCGTTGTCGCCCCCAACTCCCCACTAACCCCCACCCACCCTTTTAGCTACGCCACTTACACGACCCTTATGTTTACAGGGTACCCATGGGTTAAAGCATCGCCGACTCCCCCTCCCCCGCCCGTTTTATCTCCGCCACTGCCCCAACCCTTGTGTTTACAGACTTGTAGCCAACACGTGAACTAAAGAGTTAAATATGTGCTCTGCGGTGCAGACGTTCAGATTAGTTGTTTCAAGAACGTCAAATGCACCACCTGATTCAACGTTATTTCCAAAGCCTGGTCAAACAACTTGTAAACGTCAGTAAACTGCGTTCTTCTAATGTAACTTTTGTAGCGTTTTAACTTATGAATCTTTGAACGTTAGTAATATATTTGTTTGTGCGTTTATATTGATTATATTGGATTTTAGTTCTTTTAACGTTAACGTTAAAATTAACCGCAAAAAGAAAAAAAACTTCCAATAAAGTTGGTAAAACGTTTTATTTCCATTTTACATCTTTTTTACATCTTACATCATTAGCAAACGTTGCATTAAAACATTAGAGTGTACTGTGTATTCTACCAGACCACCTGGTATATCATATTATATGTGTATTTAATCTTTACTTCATATTGATTTCTACCCATGTTTTATTATTTACTTATATTTCTGAACATACGTAAGTAAATACAGCTTCATATATATTAAGTCACATATAACACATTATAAAATATCTAAAATGGTGCAAAATAATTTTTGGGAAAAATGCCTTTTTATTGCACGTCTAATAAATGTCCTAGAAACTTTTAGTTCGACATTCCATCACGTGACTGCAGGTGTACAGAATGTACCCCGTTATTTTACAATTAAATAAAATTAATATATCATCTTTAAAAAGCGAAAGTAATATACGCCAAACAATTCCTTTATGTATTGTTTAAATAAAAGTTTACAATAGAAAGGGGGGAAAATGTACTAAAACTGTTAAAAATTAAGATTAAATACAGTACATGTATATATATTATATGCGAGTCATAAAACCGAAAGTTTGAATTCATAGATATAGCATATTAATATACATGCTTAAAATATGGAGAATCACGGAATGAACACAAAGAGATATAGAAGAAATGTTATAAAAAAAATCAAGTAGTTTAAGATAATATATTTGAAACAGATTTAAAGGAGCTAAGTCGCTAACTCAATATTTTCCATATAATATTAAAATTAAAAACACGAATGAGAATTCAGTATTAATCAATTTCAATCAATAGTGATGTTGTTATCTTGCCGTGAAACTATGGGATCCTAACACTCAATATTTAAGACACAATTAACATTTTATAATCAGTACATGAGTCGTGTACCCTATGGTTTCGGGTGCCATTTTGTAATGAACAAATAAAAACATAACCCACAACATAATGTGGAAGTAATTGGTAAAGGCAGGTTGCAGATTCAAGTAATTAGTAAAGGCTGATTCACAAACGACAAAATAATAATTTAAAAACCGTGTAGAATGCACTAAGCAGGCGTAGACAACCGTCTTGTTCGCGTATTTCACCGAACATAATTGATTAGAAATTACAATATTTTGTTTTAAAAACTGAATGTAAATCACTTTACACACATTCATATGTGCTTTTAGAACCATTTTTGTCTTATTTCAAGTTTCCAAAAATTAGAGCAGTACGGTATAGGACGTTAAACCCCATTTCATTTCGGGGGGTGGGGGGCGGTTGGATGGCCGAATGTTTAGCTCGCTGTATCATAAAGTCTGTTATTGAGTCAACTGGCGTGGCTTCGAATCCCCGGTTGTACGTGACAAGGAGTAGGGTCGCCTGTCCAACCTCGTGGGTTTTCTCCGGGTCCTCCGGTTTCCTCCCACTGCTAATCACCCCTACGCGCAAGCGAATTATTGAAATAAAATTAAACCATATGTTAGTCTCGAAATGACCTAGTTTGTGTCAAGTGGACGTTAAACTCTCTCTCTCCCATTTTATTTCATCCAAAAAATAGAGTTATACGCCCTTTAAGGTAAAGAATAAGTTTTTTCCTAAAGAGAGTCAAGTTATTTAAAGTTTTTAAAAACGGTGGCAACGAACTTCACGGTTTGAGTCCTTTAAAGCGTAAACTGCTTTTAACTATATTTAATATTTTGCCTGAGAGTAATAAGTTCATTCTTAAATAAGGATTTTGGTAGTAAGGTAAGAGGTCAAATCATTTATTAGGGCATGGTTTTAGAAGAATTTAATAGCTAAAGATACATTGATTAGACATGTCGATTTACTATTGTATAGTATAAAAATGTTCAATTTGTCTGGTTCAGAGAGATTTAGCGTCACAAAGGTCCCATTGGAAGACAATAATCTATATTTTTTGTTGAAAGTGGACATTGTAGAAAAGGATTCGGAATGGATTTCAAAATGAGATAGGCACTTTAATCAAATCATTCTAGAAAACGACTTACTAAATGGATCAAAGCAATTTTTTGTGAACAGTATGTTGACACATTAGTGATTAATTCATCACAGTTCCAAGACATTACGAGAAGGTTTAGAGTCTGTACACAGTCTATACATCAGTATCTGGTGTATCCACCGCGAGTGTCAATAACAGCAGCGCAGCGTCTGTACATGGAGTGGACCAGACGATTGATGAACGCCATTGGCACCTGGAACCACACTCT